AAGATTATTTATTTTATAAATACGATGATGAATTTTCTCGATGTCTAGTTTTGGCAAAAATGAGAGAAAACAATTTTTTAATTTTTATAAAAATGTTGTCACTGTTTGGTTTTTCAGATGTCACGATCGCACTAGGAAAAAACACTTATAATTCAATGAAAAATATTTTGGTGTATGTAAGTTCGACGTTATATTGTTCGAAATTAATATAATTTTGTCAATTTGATTAGTACAATAATATGAATGAATAAAAGAATACCTCACGACTTAAAGACATCATAAGTAAAGTAAAGTTTCAGTTTTGTAATGCCCCTTGATAATTATCTATTTAAAAAAACAAATAACTTTTGACTTTAAAAATTAACACTTCAAAGTACCATTTTCTTAATTCTGAAAATTGCTGTTGAAGCTGCATTTTCAGGATAATTTTTTTTTAACTTTACATTATTTAATTTACAAAGCATCTCCACTCTTTTTAATTTTTTTTTTAATTTGCTCATGAGCACGGACATAATGAATATTGCGCCAAGTCTAATTTATTTTATTTTTCACACATAACCAACGTTAATAATTCTATGTTTGATGCGTGGCAAAAATTTTGTTCAATGGGACGGTCTTTTTTATTCATCGTTTACAACTAAGTTACAGTTAAGTGTAAGTAACGAACTTGAATTTTGAAATATCAACAAACCTACAATGTCTTTAGCATTCTTTTCACGAAACGATGTCTGGAAAGTCAAAAATGTTTTAAGATTCTTGATGAATTTTTTTTTCATTTTAGCAACACCTTATCGTTGGAATTTCAAACAAACCTTAATGTACATGGAAAACTTGACGATAAAGGGTGGTCTTCGAGATCCAGAAAACAATAATTACCATATAAAATATTGTGTATATTTTCACGCAAGGGGTAGCAGTTGCGTAATACTTATAATTTTTTTCAATTTTACACATACTTCAATAATAAAATTTATTTATTTCATACTACCTTAATTAATAATTAAGTTTGATGTCATATGAGTTTTCTTGAACTTGAAAAGAAATAAACAAGTTGCTTTGAAAT